TTTGTCAGCAGTATTTACCATCACTTTGGCATCAGTAGACCCATGATTTTCTTGTCTTTCTTGTTGCATGATAAGAGAGAAAACCCGATTGATGTTTGGAAGAGGATCCATAAGGAGAATTTGTGTCCTAACAGTGTTGTAAGAGTCATTCAAGCCCTTTAGAAAACATATTACGTGCTCCATTTCTCTATATTTCAAGAGAACCTTTGAAAGGGCACAACTACATGGTATCTTGCATGTGCAAATGGGTATGGGTCTCAAGAATTCTAATTCTTCCCACAGAATTTTTAGATCCGTAAAATATTGGCTAACTCCTCTTTCCCCTTGTCTAATGGAGTGTATATCTTGAAGGAGATCTGATATCTTGAAATGATCACCTTTGGAAAACCTTTCTTTTAATTCATCCCATAATTCTTTTGCTTCTTCCACGTATATAACACTCTCGGCAATTTGAGGGGAAAGAGTCTTGGTTATCCAAGATAGTATCATCATGTTGCATCTCTCCCAAGCATCATATAGGATATCATCTTTCTGGGGTCTCTTTATGGACCCATCAATGAATTTCACTTTGTTCTTGGAAAGCAAAGCTCTTCTCATGCTTCTGCTCCAAGAAGAGTAGTTATTTTCACTCAGAGTTTGTGTGATGAGGGTGAGTCCAGGATTCTCTCCTGGGTGTAGATAATAAGGGCTGGATGGGTTGTTGAATTCAACCTGTTCCATGAGGCCTAAAGTGGTACAGAACAGCCCAAGAACGTATCAAGAGTATCAGCAGGTGGAGCGGAAGCAGAGCAGGTACTAGACTTGCTCTGATACCATATTAAGCTGAGGCCCAAGATGGTGTGCACTGAGATAAGGCCCAATACTGGGCGGCCCATGCGAAAACTAAAGCCATCAGATTGGATGGCTTCTGCTAACGTGTCCAGCACTTCGACACTGATCAGGAGAGAGAGCAGAGTGCTTCCAGAGAGTTCCGTCTCAGAGGATGAAGGTCCAGCGGAGCTCCGGCAACCTTAGAGACTTCAGACGGCAATGGTGCAGGCGGAGAAAAAGTTCAGGGCAGAGAGACGGGTAAGTAAAAAGTATCCTTTTTCTATTCTGATTAGTTTCAAATGTATCAAAATGATATTGCTTTCATTGATTGTAAAACAGTAAGCAGAGATCTATATATATGGATCTCTGGTAAACAGAAAACAATAAAGAGTTAAAACAGAATACATTGAACAAAGCCCTAAACTGGACTACGGTTCAGTTGGTCATTATGAACCCAATAACTGATTCTTAATACTTTAATTGTTAGTTTGTGACAGAATACCAAAATTAATACTCCAAAAATTACTTTTGGTGGGGCTTGAGTTCGGTCTTTTAACTCAAGTTGAAGGCTAAAATAATATGTTATTTGAGAGTTTTGTCCTTTTAAGATCCTATCAAATATATAACAAACTTAAATAAAAGTTTGTCTTAAGTTTGTGTATAAATCTAATCAAGAAAAATATGCTTTTTCTTTTCTTGTTGAAATACCCTTAATTAAATATTTAGGCATTGATATTAAAGAAGTCACATCTCTAATTTCTTTTTTAACTACTAATATAGTCAAATCATCAAGCATTAACATAATGTACATGGTTGAAGATGTTAGATGCACTCTTCCAATGGTCACTAGAAGGGGAGAAATGTATTTAACAAACAATTTACACTAGCAAGAGATATTAGTTTTTAGTTTTTTTCTTCTTCTTCTTCTCTTCATCTCTCTAGTACAACTAAAAGTAAAAACAATTACAAAAATTCTAATAATATTAATCCACTTAATTTTTATCTTATTTAAATCTTATATTTTAATGTTAATTTATTATTAATTAAAGATTAAATATGTTTTTAATCTTTTAATTTTGACATAAAATTAAAATTTGTATATATTCAAACTTTAAAAGTGAATAGATATAATTGTAATTCATTATACATATCTCAGTTCATCTAATACTTCAGTCAATTCACTCAGTTAAATAGTTAATACATAGATTAATAGAACTTGAACAATTCATTCAATTTTAAATTCTGATCAATTGAAAATGTAGAGTTCTCTACAAAGATTACTCATGTGATCTTTGATCTACAAATAACTGAGGATGAAGTCAAAGATAAAAAAAGACAAAAATAAGTTTTTAGAATTTTTTTTAAAAGATAATGATTTTTATAAAATGAAATTTTGTTAATAGAAATTTTATTTATAATATAATATTTTAAATAATAAAATAATTGAATATCATCTTCCAAAAATCACTGCTTCTTTTTACTATTGAAAACCACAACATTAAACACCAAAATCAAATTATAATAATTTTTCACAAGATAATTGGAAAATATGAAATATTTTAGCCCCAAACTTTCTTAATCAACAACTTGACTAAACTAAATGTTTTTATACTAGAATTTGAAAGTTTCTAAACGAATATTTAATAAGTTGAAACTTTTAAAATTTATAAGTTGAGATTTAGCTTTTGTTGAAAAACAAATGTCGTAGTAAGATATGTGTAAGCAATAAAAGAAAGTCCGTTAATACTTCCACTCAAATAAGTCAAATAATAATAAAATATGAATTAATATAGAAAACAATGAAAAATATAAATAAGAGTATCTTAAATAATTGTTACAATTAATATTTTATTAAAAATGTAAAAGAAAAATAAGTACATCTTTAAATTTTTATATTATTCTAATTAATTCATTAATAAATAACTAATTTATTGATGATTTGAGTTATGTTTTAAATAGTTCAAATACAAATAAATACTTTGCTGTGTAATTCAGTTTGTCTTTTAATTATTTTTAAGAGTTATGTTTACAAACAATAGTCCGAAAAATTTCTACATGAAAGACAGGAAGAAAATATTGCAGAGACAACGTATTCTCATCCAGCATTACTTGGTGTACTCCCAATTTTTCAAAATAAAACGAAGGGAGTATTAATTTATACAACAGAAATTTTAGTTTTATAATTCTTATAAAATGTTCAATTAAATCTCTAATTTTAGTTTAATTCAGTCTTCTAATTTTTAAAAATAATTAAATTAGATATTTTTTTGTTAGATTAGGTTAGATTTTATATATTAAATCACTCTATCTAAAAAGTTTAAATATGAAAATTAATTTTATTTTATATAATAATTTAATGTATAATTTTTTTAAAAAAAATATTATTAATTAAAGAATTAATTAAATATTTTTCAAAATTAAAAGACTAAACTAACGAAATAAAAATTACTAGTGAAAAGATAAAATTAATAATGTTAGTTGACATTATTTTTACAATGGGTATGAAATTGAAGGGAGAGAATGAGTGAGATGTGTTTTGTGCATATTCTTAGATATTTAGCCTTCAGATTTTATATTTCAGAGTTTTGAAAAAAACCGGGTTCTCTGCAATTCTTAAAGTATTCTGACAATGAATCATGTGCACGCGGAACCTCCATTTTCAGTCATTGTCTTTACAGTTGGTCTCCTGTTACACGTTTCTGTAAAATGATTTTTTTTTTCTCTTATTCAGAAAACCATGTTAGCAACCAACCATCAACCTTCATACTTATATAGTTGTCACGTAAATATACAAGAGTTTCTATATCATTGGTACCTATCATAAATAAAATACTTCAAAAGTAATCTACAAAAAAAGTTAGAAGTAATCTCAAATAGTAAATATAGTATATAGTTAATTATTTTTATAAAATTTAAATATATAACACTAGATAAATAAATTAAAGATAATAAGAAAATATATTAAAACATATATAATAATAGAAGAAGACTAAATAAGATACAAATTTAAATTAAAGTAGTTTGTAACTTATTATTTACGAAACATTTTGAGTTTTTAAAGTTTTTGTCAAATGATCGACGAGATGTCAAATTAATTAACGTATTTATAAGTAAAAATTTCTTTAACAACTTTTTCTTCACAAATTTTTTATACGAATAAATGATACATAATCTATTATTAAAAGGTTGTTAACGTATCATGATTTTATTTATAATAGACTGATAACAAACTTTAATTTGTGATATTTTTAAAAAGAATAATTCATCAAAAAATTTCTTTTCTAGAACCATGTATAAACAAAAAAATACATCACAACAATTTATTGTTTAAGTACCTCAAATATAGCAGTAAAATATTAAAAATTTGATCAAAAATGCTAAAAGAAATTGTATCTTAAATGATGAATTTTTAAAAATTTACAACAATTTTCATTTTTAAGTGTCTCCATACCAAGTTTTTAATAAAAGTTATCACAATTTAAACTTTTTCACCACCAAATATTCACAATTTTGACTCTTTGAATAATATCTTATAATTGAACAATCTACATTCAAAAACAACTTAATAATAATAATCCCATCTCATAGAAATTTCCATAACAAGATTTGAGTCAAAAGTAATTTTTTAGTGAATTTTACAAAATCAGAGTTAATTCAAAAATGCAAAAATGTAATATTTAGGACACATAACAATGTAATAAATATTAATAATTTTCTCTTAGTATAATTATTAGTAGTAATAATTTTTATGGGTAGAAAATATGTAAACAAAAATTTTTAGTAGCTTAGATAGTAATTACCTTGTAACACTTGAAACATGAACACAAATATAGTGGAATACTTTTCTTTAAAATATATTTTTATAAAATTAATTAATTAATTAATTAATTAATAAAAAAAATCAAAACAAAAGGACAAACTAACTTTCGATTGTCCAATTGCAGTTAAGAAAGTTTTAGTTCTAAGGTCTATAATTAAATAAATGAATTTCTTTAGTTCTAAAGTATATATTTAAGTAAAATTTTAATCCCCGTTTGGTCTACCGTTAGATTAAAATGAGATTTTAAAATATGATTTTTAAAGGATCTCACTTTCTTTTTAAATTTCCATAACGAGGTTGATTTCTTGAATGTTTTCTAGAGTTTCTAATCAGTAGGGTTTTATATTTCTTACAAATTTGGCAAGCCAAATGGTAAGAACTGTCTATATCACTTTGTAGAGAGAATGCAATTTGAATTTTGCAAGAGTACATGATGGGAATCTCTCTTCACAGTGAAATCAATAAGTTATCCTCATTTCAAAATAATTCTCTAAATCCAAAGCCCCATTCCTGTTATTCAGTTCTTGACGATGAGTGGCTCCTTTATGTCCTCCCACGCATTCAACCTCTTTTCTGCTTCCTCAACCTAATACACCAAAATTTCCATCACAAATTATTAACCGATTAATTACTGCCACATACAAAGTCTACTAATTTTATAGCTTTCCTCTCACCTCTTTCTTCCAATCAGTTCTAAATGTGACCCACATCAAAATAATTGTTTGCAGAACCGTGCCACCAAGCATTCCCAACCATATTCCCTGCACATTCACGGCATTGAGTTATAAAATGGAAGATTTTAGTGAGAAAGATTAAATAACAGCATTGAGTTTGAAATAGAGATACCTTTGCATTGAGTTTGAAATAGAAACCCATTACAGAACCCAATGGAATGCCAATTCCGTAATAGCAACCAACGTTTACGTACGCAACAAAAGTTTGCCATCCACATCCAACAGCCACCCCTTTTCATAAACCATTCATGCATAAGTTTAAACAATTCTTAAAACTTATACTTTTAATTTAGGTATTTTTAGGTGAGAGTTGCAAGTGATGATACCAGACAAAACAGGCTGAATGCCGTTGAGAACAATGGAAAGGGCAAGGAGGGGACAAAGATCTGAGACTGCAGCAGCCACCTCTTCGCCTTCAGTGAAGGCATAGCTAAGGACATCTCTTAGCGACAAAATCACCACTGCTATAATAACTGATATTATGAAAGATATCACTGTCACCACCACCACAGAAAATGAAGCTGATTTTGGATTTCTTGCTCCTAGCTCGTTGCTCACTCTCACACTGCAGTGACATTTAATAATCAAAACACACCCTTGTCTCATAATTGTTCTCAACAGAAAAGGTGAAAGCGAAAACGAAAGAATCAAATGTTACAATTCAGTTGTAAATGAAGGAGAATCAAACCTTGCAGCTGCGTTAAATCCAACTGAGATCATGAAAACCCATCCGGACAGTGTGGTGCTGCAATAAGAAATGACTGTTAGTAATTGCAGAAAAGTAATCTTTTTTTTTTAGTTGTTTGAAATATTTTCATAAATAAATTATGTGGGTGCGATTGATTTCTATTTGCAAAATCTATTTTTAATTTTATAAATATAACTAAATTAAGGTATTTATGTGGTTGGTGGGTGGTGGGTGACGCATGAAATTTCAATGGTTATCCTGACAGTAATTATTTCTCAAACAGATTTTTCCCCTAAAAGCAGTAGAAAGGACAGCAATAATATATACAAACAAAGATCATTAATATGCGTAGCCAATTATTTTGATTGTGTGACAGTTAAGACAAGAAAACCAGACAGTCATTATTTTTTATGGACCACAGAAGCTCAAAAAGGAAAGGGAAAACTCTAAACAGAACCACTAGTTGATTCAAAAATGGTACGAGACGGGTTTTGAAACGCAACCTGTCAGACTGTTTTTTTTAAAATACCCATCGTTCACATTAAAGGAGGCGACGCCAAACGTCGTTTTCCTTTGCCTTCTATAGAAAATACAACAATCCAAAAAGATAAAAGAAAAAAAAAGGCACTGTACTTTTCTACAGAAAGAAAATTAAAAATCAGCATCATCAATTATCTTATAAATTTTCAATAACAATATAATATCTTTAAATTTTGTTTGAGACCACTTTTGATAAATATTTATTTTGAAAAAAAAATAATAATATATATATATATATATATATATATTTTTTAAATTGGAAAAGTAAAGCACAAACAAACCATGCAGGAAGGCAAGAGAAGTCATCTAATCTTTTAAGTTAAAAATTATTTATATAATTAATTTTCACACGAATGTGTTATTTAAGTTTTAAAGAAATAAAGATAAAAAAAATCAATTTTAATTTATAAACAATTAATAACTTTATTGTAGTTCCTTCTCTTTTTTGAGAGGTACACTTGGATTATCCTTTTCCTGATTTTTCTTTCATTTCTGTAAATATTGGACTTAAGGATAAACTAGAGTTATATTTTTAAAACCAAAACTGTTTATGTACTGAATAAAATAAATAATACTAACAAGAAAAAATGAATGTACCGAGAAGGAAGAAGAACATGGAAATAATCATGTTTAAAAATATAAAATATATGGTATTTAGTTTACATACTATAAAAAGTTTAAGAGAATATTGAATGTTTAAGATAATATTATGCATGTTTAAAATTACCAAACGATTAATGGAAGTTTAAAGTTTTATGATTTCATAGTTTTAGGTCACTAAACATAAAAAAGCCACGATTTAATAATTAAGCAAGATTTTATGATGTAATAAATAGAATAATAAAATTGAAAGAATAGATAACACAGCATGTGGTGTCACTGTTATTAGTGTATGTCCTGTGACACCAAACACGTATCTTTCTTTCTGCAATATTATGTACATTAGACCGATTACAAGTCATGTCAGCAGCTACAGAACAAAGTACTGATTCACAGTCAAAAACTCTTACATCAACATTTTTGTTTTTAACCAGCCAAGTGGTGTTCCGTGTGCCACGGATCTTTGATTTATTCTTTTCAAATTAGAGTTCTACTCAAATTCTACCTTTTCTTTCATATTTATCTTCTACTGTTATCATCTTTACTCCAACACAATAGAATATACACTGAACTTGTATGATACTTTCTATAAAGTAATATTTCTAATCAAATTATTTATTTTTATAATAATTTTCTCAAAAAGTTGTATTAAGAAATTATATTCTTTTATAAAGCCGCCTAATGTTTGGCTGGAACCTTCCCACAACACAATCTAGATAATAGATTCTATTGCCCAAAGAATAACCTTCCTACAGACGAGACTCTGTCCCAGCTTTCGTACTAACTCAGAATAAAACCGTTCCGAAAAAAAAAATGATCTTAAATATAAATTTTAAAACAATCATTATATATGAACATTAAAAAAAATAGAAGTTGATGAAAATTAAAGTAATTTGAAATGAAAAGTAATTTGAAAAAAAAATGAAACATTAAAGTTTATTAGCGTTCTTTTTTTTTTGTTAATCATATAGAAAAAAAATGGAAAACATTGAAAATAATTGTCGTAATGAGGAAAAAAAAATTGTTAAAACCTAATTTGAAAGAGTAATGAAGAGAGAATGAAACTAACCAAATGGAAAGGGAATCGAGAGCCAATTCAGGCTCGGGAAGCAACCCCGCGAGCAGCACCAGAATCTGGAAGTACCACGTCTCTAGGCAGAGCATAACGGCGGAAGCCGCCGACAGTTTGAAAAACTCCGGCAACCCCGAAAACGCTTCGAAGGTGAAGCCGCCCCAAGTCTGCTTGCACCGCTCGCTCTTCACGATGTAAACGAACTGCGCCAGCACGATGACCCACCAAGAGATGCTGAGCACCAGCGAGGCGCCAAACAGGCCCATCCCCAGCTTATTCACCGCCAACCAACTGAGCACGAGGTGGAACACGAGCGTGGCGCATGAAATGTACGAGCTCGGAGCCACGATGCTCTGCGCCTGGAGAAACTTCTGGATGGGGAAGTTCACGGCGTACGCGAAGATCTGAGGGATGAGCCCGTACACGAAAAGCGCAGCTGCCGATGCGATTTGCGGCGACTCGCCGAGAAACAGCAGGATTGGTTCCGCTAAGACGTAGATTACGGTTAGCAGAACGCCCGCGAGTGTCAGCAGCACCGTGGATCGTTGCAGGTACACACCTAACATGTGGAATTTCTTCGCCCCGTACGCATGTCCGCACAGCGTCTCAACGGCACTTCCCATACCCAACTGTTACAATTATTTCAAAAACACGAGTGAGTCATTCGAAATGGATGAATTACTAATGAGGTGAAATAGAATTAGGGTTTGTAGAGTACCATGAGACCATAAGCGAAGATTTGGATGCCATTGTTTCCGAGGGAAGAGGCGGCAAGTTCGAGGTTACCGAGGTGGCCGGAGAAGATTTGTGTGGACATAGACATGACATAGTTGAGGAGGTAGACGATGACCGCAGGAGCAGCAAGGTGAAAGAGGAGTTTGAACTCGAGCCATGTTGCTGGACCAATACGCTTGGAGTAAGGGACGCTGGTGTCTGTGAGTAGGTTCTCGAGTTCATTCTGTGAGCCATGTCTGGAGCTGAAAGATCGAGAAAACGAAGGTTGTTGTGGTAACGATTCTTCCGGTACTGCCAATGGCTCGTTAACCTCCTTCTACGCCGATTGAGAATCCATTTCCACTACCTTCTTTCTTTTCTCTCTCACCCTCAAAACGCTGTTTCCAAAATCACCTTCAACCGAGTTATATACTAAAACTTCCTGTTTCGTTTACATCCTAAATTCACTTTAATTCAATAATTTATTATTAATCTCATATGCAATACAGATTTAAATCAGCTTAAGTTTCGTATCCGACACGCACAAAGTCCTTTCTGCCCCTCTCAAATTTTATATTTCATTTTCATAATCTCTCACAACACGCTCACACTATATTTTCCTTTTTTAAATTCGTCGTGTTCATCGTGATGGTAAACAATATCAAACCACTTCCTTAGTTTATTATTAATAGTAAATAAATAATAGTAAATTTATTTAAATTGATTTTAGTTTGATGGGGGGTTAAAAAGGGAATTAACTTAAGAACAGGAAGGTAAATGTCTACATATATAATAACGAATTAGGTTAACATAATTGATTACTTTCTTTCTTCTTACCAAACAATATTTTTTTTAATGAGATTTTATAATAGATGATCATGATGAGATGAGACCTTGTATGTGTGTGTGTGTTTTTTATTGGTTTTTGTAGAAAAATAATAAAAAATGTGTTTTATTTTTTTAATTGGTTAGATGTATTAAATGTGATGAGATTTGTGGCAGGTAGATTTAGACTTGAGAAATTGCACATGGTAGTTGAGGACCATACACTTCAACATGGGGATTGCTAGTATCATTACACAATTATTATTTTTAAATAATTTCAATGCCAATTTTTTCATTATTTTCTAATACTTAATTAAAAAATTTAGTTGATTCATTTTAAATTATTTTATATTTTAAAAAAAAGGAGTTATTTTCACAGAAAACAGTATTTCACAACACAAATTCCTCACACCAGCATCCTTCCTCGACTAATACCAAAGTATTACCATTTCAAAACGCTACAAAAACAAATTAATTCTGAAATTGTTTCCATCAGAAGTTTCAAAATTTACTATTAATTGGAAAAAAATTTGTTCATTTTAATATGGAATATTAAATAAATATAAAAAGTGTATTAATTATAATTAATTTATTAACTTCATCATCTAAAGTCTGTAATAAATATTGCTATCCTGAATAATTCTATAATAATTATAATTTAAAATTTTCCATTATAAAATTTGAAGCTTATTTGGAAAAATTGTTAAAATTTTCAATGTAATTGAGTTAAACATTTAATTAAATGTAATTAATATATTAACTTAATGAGTTGTTAGAAAATACAGAGGATGGAAATTGAAATTTAAGTATGATTTACATTATTATGCTAGTTAATACTTTAAATAGAAATTTAATGTTAACCCTTAAAAAATATAAATACTATGGTAATAAATTAATTTTGTGAATATTTTTTATATTTGGTAGGAATTTTATCAATTATAACAAACTTATTATTGTATTATCTTTATTGATTAATAAAATATTTTTTAATATGTAAAATGATTATTGGTAATTATTGTTATGTTTTCATATATATTTCTGTGTAACATTATTTACTGTAAACTGTTACATTTAAAATGACAAAAATAAATAATTTAAAAAAATATTAAACACACATTACATAAAGCACCAATGTCTTCGATCGTCATGACAATAACAAGAATGACAAATGATTTTAAAACTGTAAAACATAAATAAAAAAGATAAACTAAGAAATTAAAATGATCAAGTAAGTTATAAAAAAAATTACTCTATTTTCCTCAAACAATGAGAATAATAAGTGATGAATTATATATCCATCAGTGATGATGTTTTGTAAATAATTTGTGTGGCAAATATACAAAATGGTACCATTTAGATTCTTTGAATAAATATACAAAAAATAATTAAGGTTAGGAAAATTAATTAAGTCTCCCATGATTTAGAAAAGAAAAAAAAAACTAGTAACTTACCTAAATGACTAATTTTTCCGATGAACCTTTTTTTTTTAATTTTGATTTGATGTTTTCATGGTCATGCAAAATTATTATGAACTTGAGAAATGGTACAGTTTCTTTGACATATATTCTACGGATAATAACTATGGTTTTGAACAAAGACTGTAATTATAGTTAGGTGACGACCTTTTTCTAGAAATCTTATTCTTTCTAAATTTGATATGTTGTTTACACATTAATGCAAACATATTAAGGACCTGAAAATGCTGTTGTTAAATTCTTTCACACAACTTCAAGAAACAACTAACATTCAAAAAGGGTCAAACCTAATAAAGTGTTCGAAAAATTGAAGTTACCTACTTTGACAACTATTCTTATGAATAATCTTATTTTTTTTATCGTTCGGTTCTTTAACATAAATTCTACAACGAATAACTATGGTTCCAGTAAATTAAGTTTCCATCACTTTATAAAAAAATATTGTTAATTTACTTAAATGATTAACTCTTTTTGGTAAAACTTTTTTTTTCTATTTGTGACAGATTGATTAATAGTTTTTCTATGAAATTATGAACCTGAAAATGGTTTCTTTACATTACATCAATAATACAAGCAACAACTAATATTCAAATAAATTAAATCTCTTATAAAATAATTTACTTATTTCACCAATATTTTTTTATAAGTCTTATTATTTTTCTATGATAAGATTATGGATTGAAAATTAATTTCATTAAATTCATTAACATCAATACTACCACCACAAAAAAATTGTGTGTTATCGATGGTCATTATCGTCATTAATGACATATTTGTTAAAAAATTATGTTTATTAATAAATAGAAATCCATCAATAAAATGATCATATGTAAAGTATACCAATGATTACAGACATCCATCGATAAGTATCAAAGGCCTCAAATCTATAGATAAATGTCTCTCAGTAAATAGTCATTGGTAATATCTACCAGTAAAATGTGTAATAAAGTATCATTCTTCCCTTTCTTTCTTGTTTACTGTTTTCCTTTTACTATCGGAAGACGATTGTGTTATCAATAACAATTATGATTTAAAAAATTAAACTCTGAAAAAAAAATCAATGCTAATTTGACCAATTAATTTAATCTAACTAATATTAAAATTTACTAGATAGACCTTTACAAAATGAAATTTAATAATTTTACTAATCAAAATGTTTATATTTTTTATCATTAATTTATCCCTAATAATATTATTAACATTAAAAATGATTTTATGATGTAAATTAGCTTAAAATATTTAATTTTTTTACATACGTAATTTAAATTTTGTTTATTAAGAATTAATTTATATATGAAAATATATCTTAATTTTATTCATTCATATGCATAAAAGTCTAAATGTCATCTATCAAGAAAGATACAATCATTATAATTATCAATAAGACATAACATTCACATGTTAGGAATCATTGATAATGCAATAATATTTTTTTGGCACAAAGAACTTTGCAAGAATCTCATGTGCAACAAGTACACGATTTAGAGAGTCCAAATTGTTCAAAAGATCTTATTATATAGATGTTTATGTGAATTGCTTCATCACACTATACCATATTAACATTTTTATAACCAGAAACATCTCTACCCTATCATGACATTACAAAAGTCAAGTTTCTCTAATAATCCAACAATTTCATCATACAAACTTTCACTTTAGAGAATATGTGCAATTATTATCAATGTTTCTCGTACCTAAAATATATTATGGGAATGAATATATTATGAAAATGAATTTATTATGGGACTGACTTGTCAAAAGTGTAAATGATCATAAAAGTTATTGTGGGAATGAATGTCAAAAATGATATACCTAAAATCATAAACTAAATTGCAACATAAGATGATGAAGAAGGAAATCAATCAAGCAATATTGTAAAGTACAAATAAATGCATTTTCAAGAGGAAAGAGAATAGTACTCCAATATACTTATTTTAAAACTATGTTAAGGATGACAAAAAAGTTAAGTATGATGGGTCAGTCTATTATCCTGATCAAAAAATGCGAGTCGAAATTTCAATCCGGAAATCCAAACCAACTTGGCCTGCCAAGCCCAACAGTCCGATAAGTCAGTCCTATTGGTCAGTCAAGCCAACTCGCCAACCCGACTTCATTAAGAAAAATTAAAACTTGTATTGTAACACTTCATATCAACATAGTCAGACAATTTGTCCTGATACAACTCGACCGAGATCTGATAAAGCTTAACAAAGATCTTAAACAACTCGGACGACAACCCTTTTATTTCTAAATAAGCTCGGTAGTCCGTCATCAACTCATTTTCATGTAAAAAATTAAAAAACTTAAACTCATTGTCATGTGATATTAAATTTTTTATGACAAATAAAAAATGGACGAACCAACCTGCCAACGAAATGGACTAGGTTGTAAAGTTCAACCCATTTTCAATTGACAGGACAACCTGTCTCACCCTTTTTTGGCGGGGCAATGTCAAACTAGACTTAAATGGACAAGGTTAAATCATTTTTCCATACATATCTCTTGTGGTTTACATAAAAATTTATTTTGGAGTGCTACCCAACAATGACAATATTTATGATATCTAAAATACAATCCCAACTATTGGTTGGCTAACCAAGTAAAAGCACTACACCATATTACAAACAACATATGTGAAGAAAAATGTCATTTGAAGGATAACATAGACTTTTTCCTTGTCTTTCATTAATATTGGGTTTGAGTTAGAGATGTGTATAAGAAAATTAATTCAAAATGTATGACTTTTGTATATGGGTTGATACATCCCTAATGTTTTTGGTGATAAAAAAAATGACTTATATACCACTTTTACTTAGTGTCACATAAAATTATCATTAAATCAACATTAACCACAACACTATCTTGATATCGATTAGAAGGTGGTGACATTAAATCATGAAGATCATAAAGTGGTCACAAAATTAAAGTTAGGTTTTTGACCTATATCACATGTTAAGTTAAAGCTTATGCATTAATATATGTTGAGAAAGAAAAATAAATGTACTAATTTACAATCACAGAAAGGCGAGATAGATGCAATTTTGACTTTATCTTAGTAAATTATCTAAGCATA